CCCCAAAACCCCAAAACCCCAAAACCCCAAAACCCCATGATTAAGGAAAATCTGTTTTTAAGGGAATTAAATGTTTAGCAAATATTGGAGTATTAACTTTTCAAAAGCAAATAATTATTCACCATTCTTATGCTTAATTTATTAGTCAAAAAATCCAATATCAATTTTGCTTTCAATGATTCGATGCTAATCAGTAGTATGAAAAGCTCATCATAGTTCCTATCATTATGAGTCCTTTTAATGTCATAGATTAAAGAAGACTAATGCCGGAAAGATCTGCAGCATATTTCTGCTTTAGCTCCGTAATATAAAGTTCAGGATCATAGTATGTGTTAGAAGAAACATAGGCTTCAGCACATGATTTAGCAATATCTGTTATTCCAGATAGTTGAATCCTTTTCGCAATAGTGCTTTAAAAGGCAGCTAAACTAATCACATTTGAAGTTTGATCAGCAAGAGTGATAGACTTAGTCTCACCAAGGGTTTATTTGAAATAAGTTCTCACGAAAATCTGATTGTTTTAGGCGCTATCTCTGAAAAATTCAAAGAAGATTCCAGCAGCAGGAAAAGAGCCGTATGGCTGGTGGAAGCCTAAACCTTCGAGATAAGCTGACATAATCTCATCATGACTTAGGTAAAGTAAGAACTTTGGCATAGGGCCTGCAGTCTTCTTGAAATATTTTTGGAATGTTGTCAGTTGTGCTATTGTTCTAGTTCCATTCAAAAATAGTGCGAATTCATTTAGTTAGTTTAAGAACTCATAGGAGACAAGTTTCCATTCTTGATCTGTTCCAAATGAAGTTTTATAGATCCAGCCGTCTTCATATGCTGAGCAATAAGCTCTGTCGAATGCGGTAGGAGTGAAATTGAGAACAATATTGGTGTACTAAGAGAAGAACAGGTACTCGCATGTTGCGTCAAATTGAGTCTCACTCAAGTTAGGTCTGCCAACCAAATTTGAAAGAGTTTGATTGTAAGTTTGGTACCAATATCCTCTTCCCCTTTTGTAAGCGGCACTAGCTGTAACATCATCGAATGCGCTTTTGTATTTGGCACAATTAGCTTCATTAAGACGAGTAATTAAGTTATCTGCTTAGGCAATTTGGTTGATTGTGTATCCTTAGGTTTTTGTTCCAGGCGATGCTTTCAGCCATTTGTGGGCAGGAGCTTAATCTGGGAATAAACCACTAAGTTAGGCTTGAGTACTATTGAGAGTTCTTGTCGCGGATGTTGCTTGTGCATACACCTCATTCGTGCTGTAATCAGCTGAGAGTAATTTCTATTCAGTAACAAGTCTTTATCGAAGACTTTTTCCTATTTCGTAATGTTGATCCCAACCTCCCTCAAGCAGTTAAGATGTATCATTGAAATTCACTGATGTTTTGTTGTATTATGAAAACTGCTCTGGAGATCTAGCACCATGTCTAGCTACTTCAATCACAAGTAAAAGGGTTTCAGTGCTGGACTATTATGTTGTGAGTCCTAAGAGACTCATCAAGACGGAAAGAAGGACTGTCTTTCTCTTATACATCTGTTACATTATATCAAATAAATTCTAAATTATGATGACCTTGATATTTAAAATATATTCATTTTCACAGAAAATTAGAAAGTTTTTATTTATATCAAAGTTTTACTTATATCTCATGAAAATCTATCGCATGGGGTTTTGGGGTTTTGGGGTTTTGGGG